ACTCCTGGCACACGCACTCACACCCTGAGGCACTCCTGGCACACGCACTCACACCCTGAGGCACTCCTGGCACATGCACTCACACACTGAGGCGTTCCTGGCACACGCGCTCACACACTGAAGCACTCCTGGCTCATGCACTCACACCCTGACGCACTCCTGGCACACTCGCTCACACACTGAGGCGCTCCAGGCTCATGCGCTCACACACTGCGGCGCTCCTGGCACACGCGCTCACACACTGCGGCGCTCCTGGCACACTCACACCCTGACGCACTCCTGGCACACACGCTCACACACTGAGGCGCTCCTAGCACACACACTCACACCCTGACTCACTCCTGGCACACGCACTCACACCCAGGCGCACTCACACACCCCCTAGCTCACACAATCACCGGGCACACTAAGCACAGTGCATACACTCCCCTTCCCCCCGCCAGTCCAGCCAACCCCGCACGACGTCCAACGCTCGCTCTCCCTCCCGGTTGGTGGGGCTCGGCAGGGGGCGCTGCAGGCGCTCGGCTCCAGGCTCTCTCCCGCGGCCCCACTTCCGCCTAGCCCCCAGCCTGCCCGGAACTGACGTCAGTTGTGTTGCTGCGGCGCTTCCGGCGGCGGTGTTGGAGTGGGAGCCCGGCTGCGGAGCTCGGCGCGGGACATGGACATTCTCAAGGCGGAGATCAGCAGGAAGCGGCAGCTGCTGGAGGAGAAGGAGCTAGTGGGGGTGCGGGGCCGGCGGCGCGGTGGGGGTCGGGGATGGATCGCGGCGGGGGCCCGGGATCGTTGACCGGTGGCGGGGAGGGGTCGGGGCGGGTCGCGGTGAGGCCCCGGGTGGGGCGCCGGGAGTGTGCGATGGACCCTGATTCTTGTGGGACGGTGGGGGTGGATTTAGTTCCTGCCACTGACCTGCCCCATATCTCTTCCTCTAGCGATACCCCGACAGCCCCTCCTATGATAGAGACACACACGAGAGCCCTTGTTCCCGTCATATTTATTCCCCCCCCCCACCGTGCACCTTGGACTGAAGGAAAATCTGAGCCCCCTTCAGTGAGGGGCACAAACCCTCCCCCCCCATCCTCAAGCTGTGTGTTATATTCTGCACTGTTAGGGGCAGGGGGAGCAGTGAGGTGGCAACACTTGCAATTGATCCAAAATGATTTCCCAGCACACTGTGAAGTGGGCCTGACAACTGTTACCTGGGGGATTGGCAGCCTTGTAAAGTTTGGGGTTGCTTCCCATGAAATGGAGACAAAGGGAATTGTTCCAGGTTCTTTTCTCTTTGCCTCCCCAGGCTTTTGCATTTACATCACAGAGTTAAGCCCATTTCCTTGGTCATCAGTATATAGAGTTTTGTTGTTTACTGTGCTAGCTGAGGTAACAAACCTGGAAAAGAAGCTAAAGTTTGCTGCTCAGTTTATTGCAAATGGTCTCAGGGGGAAGTTGTTTTGGTGAACTCTGCATGAAGCTATAAAATAAAGTCTCTGAGGTGTGATCACGCAGTCCTGAGACTGGCAAAAATCCTCCTTAAAGTCAGTGTGGAGTCTGGCCAGAGTGAGGACAGCAAGATCAGGAACTTTTAATCAAACTTGTTCTGTCACACACAGCCACACAAACCCATGGTTACATCACCTCCACCCCGATCTGGGAATTTTGTTTAGCTGTTGCACGCATCACAACACCCCAACTTTGCTGGCCATCTGATTTATTTAGTTCTTTAGATGATAAGCTTTTATGCTGAAAAATCCAGACTTTCATGTTGTTGTTGTTAGAAGAGCTGAGATTACATAGTAGCTGAGGATTACATAGTAGCTGAGGATACTTTATATTAAGTATTGAGATGAATACACCATAATATCAATTGCCATCATGGACAGGACATAGTTTTATTTCAGAGGATTTGTTGCCTTTTTGTAGGCAGAGAGAGAGACTTTTGTGCTGGGTTCTATGCACTGGGTGTTTAGGGGTCCTAGAAAGCGCTTGTACAATCACGGTTGCAAGCCGAGCTGTATTTGGACATGTCCGCATGGTCCTGTCAAAAGACAGTTGTTTCTATGTGGATGCACTAAACTGTTTTTAGGAAGAAACACAACAGCTAGCTATTACAGACAAATGATATCCCTGAACACTGTCCCTGTTTAGCGTAAGATACGCTCCCTGTCTCAAATGGTTTCAGAATCTTTTAAAAAGTTAGGCCTTCTCCTCAGTAGTGACGCAGCTACATTACTAGTTGAGACTGATTAAAATGGTTTCTTACACATTCAATTTTGTAGCATAGCTAGGACTTCATCATGCACAGTAAAGTGTGTGTGTGGGGGGAAAGTTGTATAAACCAGTTAAGTCCTGATAATATGAAAGCAATAATAGAGAGAGCAGCTTTTTCAAACCTTCTCGGAGTTTTGTAGTGATTGTAGTATGCAGTGTACTTACCAGCCAACCAGATTGTACAATTCTTATTCATATTACTCTGATGTAGTGACTGGCGTGAAAGGAAAGTAAATTGGGGGTGCCTTTGAGAATATTTTCCTCTGCGTAAAGAAATCTAGTTGGACTGGTCAAATCTTTGAGACATTACTGAACGGAGATTGGAATCAAGTTGTATAAAACTGCAAAACTTTGTTTTCCTCCTCTCTAGGGAAACAGAAAATATTTCAAGCGCAGTGAGCTAGCCAAGAAAGAAGAGGCAGCGTACTTTGAAAGATGTGGCTACAAGGTACTGTAATTACTCCTTCAGTGGTTTGTGTGCTCACTTTGTCTATATTTAATATCAACATTCTAAATATTGTTGATGATAATTGTTGTTCTTTGTTCAATTTGTCAATGTTATACATTAGCCTGTAAATGAGAAGCCACCTGGAGAGGTATGAGTTTCCTAAAACATTTTTAATGCAGGAAAAAATGCATGATATATAGCTATTTAAGTTTGTGTTATGGTTTGGCTTTTTTTCTTGTGGAAAGCATGAAGTGGCTTGGGATCAAAGCTTGCCTTTTTCTTTTTAAATTGTGTTTTAGGCATGAATGCTGAATCTGGTATAGCCACCTTCCCTTAGTTTACAGGCTAGTCCTTTTTTTTTTTTAAATAAGAACTAGTTTAAGGTCTTCCTGTTGAAATATCCCAGAGAGATCAGCAGAGAGTGGGTGCTTTGGAAAAACCCAGGCAACTTGTTTAGTATGCAGATCGGTTATTGTTGTTCTTGGCCCAAAAGATTCAGTGCTTGAAAGAGTCCAACACAGCACTTACTTTCTTTCAGGCAAAAATAATAGCAATCTTAAACTCAGGGTGCATTTTGAAACAAATGAGTGATCTGGAAGGCTTTGTTTATTTCCCCTTTAACAGCATCAGTTAAGTAGTTTGCTGGAATTGACAGCATGGTGGTTTATTTCAGGTGTGTGTATGAATAGGTAGGGAGGTACTCACTTCACTCTAAATTTGGATGCTTTAATAGACTCTTGTTTAATGTTTGCTAGTCAGAAATAAAAAGCCTTGTTTTTAGTAGAGCTTTACCCAGTTGGTCAGTCAATCCAACACCCTGCTCAGATACTGTATAATGTTTGGTCTTTATAGACGTAAACATACAGTTTACTGGTAAGAAAGAACCATTGTGATCAGTATACATGCATCAGAAACTGTTCTGAGAATCTAGTTACTGTACAGTCATTTCAGCTTGGAAAAGAGGAAGAACCATAAGTAAAAACTGTACTGGGGCTAGTGGTTCTAGCATAATTTCAGTCACTTGGGATAAGAAGGCCCATATATGTGAAAGGGGGGGGATGCTTGTAGATTTTTAGGTAACCAGTAAAGGTTTTATTAGTTACTTAAACTGTAGGTGTTTCCAGCACTCATGTGTCATTTGAATTCAGTCCTGCATGTTTCAGATTTGTTGTTTAAATGCAGGATGTGGCTGATAAGAGATACAAACAAAAGTTAGGTTACCCAGGACTGGAGCTGGAATATCTATTTTGCTACAAGAATCTTCTTGAATTAAAACGTGATCTTTAGAGAGGTTTTAAATGAGCTTTCTAGTTAACTTAGTGCTTTTCTAGAGCCTCCCAGATTTCTGCATTTGAATTATTTTAATTTATGACTAAGGGGTAGAAAGCCGACTGATTTTTTTTAAGTGGGTGCTTTGCTTTGCTTATACTGCGTTAGTAACATGTAAGCATTTGACTCACTTGTAAAGAGAAAGCACTAAAGCAAAAATAATTGCAGCAAATTTATTGCTTGTAACTTTGAGTCCAGCTGACAGAATGGCTTAAATCTTCCCTCATATGCTGCTAACTGTTTGTTATAAACAAAAAATAAATGATTGTAGTCTAGAGATTGTAGAAATTCATCTGACATTGAGGTGTATTTCTCTTTATGTGCTTCAACTAGTTCCTTTCTTATCTTTACTTATGGAGGTTTCTATTTTACCCCCCCTTGCAGTGATGAGTTTTATTTTCAGTAAGTATACTGTCCCCCACCCGCCTTTTAGATGCTAGCCATTGGCTTGATCTTTCATTGCTTGCTGGCCCAAAACTCCCATTGATATCCGTGGGCGTTTTGGGTGAGTCAATAATGCAAGATTGGTCCCTGTATTTGCTAGTGTAGCACTAAATACAGATTTGTGCCCTGGTCGTGTAGGTCCAAATAGGTAGACCCTTATGGTCATGCAGAGTCCTTCTAATTTCTCATTGCAGGATTGGGGTCTTGGCCAACAACAATATAAAAGCTTCATTTATAGTCTGTCTAGGACATCCATCAAGTCATTGTTTTAGAGAAAACTAGAAACTGGAACCGGCTTAACATACAGTCAACATGCAGAGATGCCAACAAAATGTAATATGCTGTAGAATAAAATGGAAAATAAAAGTACCCTTTTAAAACCTAAGAAAGCATCTAGAAAGTTTCTACACTGCTCACCCGCATCTTCTGGTTTTTTCCTTTGTTCCAGAAAATTACCAGCATCAATCTGCCCATCTGATTTTCATTTATTTTCAACAACTTGACGTGTAACTTATAGCAGAGTTTTAAAGGACGCTGCATTGACATGAGTGCTGTCTGTCTTCAAGTACCTTTAATCATAAAAGTTTACAGCACTATGAAAACACCAAGTCATACAAGTAAGAAGTGGTTCCACTTAATTCAAGAACCTCCTTTTCTGATGGAGGGGAACCGCTGATATGATGCTACAGCTATGATGAAGGGTTGGCGTGTGTTTATGTTTTTGCAATGAACTATGTTCATTTGACAAGTTCTTCTGAAAGAAGCATTTCCAAAAAACAAGTCATTTTGCTGTTGGTATTCAAAATCCACTGTCTCTTTGCATTGCCTTAAAGAGGTCTCCTTCCCCCATCCCTTAAAAGTGCACTTAGGGAAACACTGATATTTAATATTTAACACTGAGTAATAAGCTTAGGCATACTTCCATAGAAGGGTATACTGACATATGATTCTATCTGTATTGTTTTACTATTATTGTGAGTATGCCTAGAGGCCTGAGCACAATCAGGATCCATTGTGCTATACAATTGCATAGTAAGAAGCAGCCCCTGTTCCAGAGAGTTTACAGTCTAACTATGTATACCTTTGAAACTATAGGTGTACTTCCCTGGATTTGTTATCATAGATATTGTTATTATATAGGTGCAGGAGGAGGAGGAGGAGGAGAAACCAGTGACTTCATCAAATCCAGGGTTGGAGCTAGAGCTGGCAGAAGAGAAGTTACCCATGACTCTTTCCAGACAAGAGGTAAAATAAAATATCACAAACTAACCTGAGATTACAGCAAATGGATCTAAATTTCCCCATTAGGGTAACATTTCCTAATGCTCTGTAGCCGTCTATTCCAGGTTGTATCTGTCCTGCTACAGAATAATAGTTTTTAGTTAAATAATTGTAATCTCAGTGCTTACTGCCGTGGTTCTATTTAGTTCTCATACAAGGGCCTTCTTTTGTGATTGTGGAAAACACTGATGAGAGAGAGCAGTAGCAGTTAAATGCACTTCCCCGCCCCAAATCGCTGCGTGAGTTCTTGCTTCTGCTACCCTTCCAGATGATCTTTTGAACTATCTGATGAATATGGGATTAGAGGATTGAAGGCTGCAGGCTGAATTTTTTCAAGTTCTGTTTTTCCAGCTTGTGTGTCTGTGACTTGTTAGTCCAAATCCAAATCAAGACACAAACTAGGTTTTAAAAAATCGTTATACATCCCCCCAAAAAGTTACGCTAAAGTTACTGATATGCTCTTTCACCTTTTTAAGAGTAAAAGTCTTACAAGATCATTGTTAGTAAAACAAAACCCCTCCCAGAAAAACAGTAGAGAGCTGGGAAATTCAGAGTTAAGTTAAATTTACAATAAACTTAAACATGTGGAAACGTGGAAATTCAAAGTTAAGATACCCAGAGCATCTTAGCTGTGCCCCCTTAGCATTCCCAGACACTTGTCTTCTCTTTCTGTAGTGAAGTATCGAAAATGTGCACCCTAGGCTGTTGGTTTCATGTTTGGTTGCATACATACAGTCTAGTATGGAATGTGATGTCCCATCACCATGCATCATAGCTCCACTCATAAGAACTGTAACTTCATCTGAGAGGAGTTTGCGTGTCAACATGCTAGCTCCGTATCTACTGATGTTTGACTAGCTGGCTGCCACATGGAACCACAGGGCCCGATTTTGCAATGTGTCCAAATACAGGAGTCTGTGCAAAGAACCGTGTTACAGAATGAACATCTCAAACTCTTCCAGCTGCTGCTTTTCCAGACAGTCCGTTGCTATCCTAAAGTGGTGGCAGTGCCAATAGCATGTCCTATCAATCAGTGAAAGTGCTGCTTTGCCTGTATTAAATATAAGCGACCAATGGGCCCTGTTATTTGTTTGCACAAAAGGAAACCTAGACCAAGTTAGCAAATTTGGTGATGGTGATGAGGGAGGCTGTGTGATTTAGCAGGTAGTGCATGGAACTCGGATTGTAGTCTTGACACTATCCGTCATTTGGTATGTGACGTTGGGTAAATTAATTTCTCTGCCTCGGTATACCCTTCTTTAAAATGAGGATATGTAAGTACCACATCAGAATATTGAAACTTAGTGTATTAATGTTTGTCAAGTGCTCTGAGATCCATGGATGAAAGGCTTCATGTAAGTCAGCCTTGCAAACACATCATGACATCTTAACAGCCCAAGCACCAAATCTACTCACCCACACTCATGTTGATGAAAAAGATTTTTCTTGACCCAGTCTAATGGCTGAGTAGAATTTTGCAAAGTTTAAAAATACTGGATGGAATTTTCTCAAGCACCAAAATGATATAAATGCACAGGTACCGTGGACAGCCAATGAGATTTGGGCTCTTAAGTCACTTGGTTGCTTTTAAAAATCCCACCCTCCAATCAAAGGTTTATATTCTTACATATTAGTTCAAAATAAGTCAGTAAGAAACTCCAGGAGTCTGCTTGAGATTCTAAACAAAATTTAGATCAGTAATATTTGAATTGAAATGACCTTTAACTGAAATGCTGTGGGAATTTTATATTTAAACCACAAAGTGGAACATTTTGCTGCTGCTGTTGCATTTGTAGCATTTCCCTTCCCTCCTGGCTTAGGTTGCTATTTTATGGTAAGTAAAAGAAGTGATTTGGATTTTTTTTCCCTCTCTCTCCAATTTTGCATAAGGGAACACTTTGTTGACTCTTTGCAGGTGATTCGGAGATTGAGAGAGAGAGGTGAACCAATCAGATTGTTTGGAGAAACAGATTATGATGCGTTTCAGCGTTTGAGGAAGATAGAAATTCTTGCACCTGAAGTTAACAAGGTAAGACCAGATAAGTAACAGTTGTATGTGTAACTAGTTTTCTCTGAGCACTTACTGCACCTGAGGATTTTCATAAGGATGAAAAATCATAGAGCAATGAAAATTACCTTCAGTTCCCACCTATAAAGTCTCTGGGAGGATATTTTAAATATGATTTACTTTCTCTTGCCCTATTACAATGCTCAAACTGGACATGTTAATTTGAAGAAAGTTTTCAGGGCTTTGAGTTGGAAAAGAGATCTCTGGAAGGCAGTGACATCAAAAGCTGTGCTGTTGCTTGCTTTCCAACTGGGGGGAGAGGGAGAATACATTATAGTCTTTTGTTCTGAAACTTTAACCTGCTATAATATAGGCATCCCTGTTTGGAGAAGAGTGTTTGGAATAGCTTGCCTCTGAGCAGAGACAGATTATTAACAGGAGGAGTGCACTGTTTCTGGTATGCAGTTACATTTTTCCAAATTCCTTACTTCTAGATTTAAAAAAATAAAACTTTTTTCCAATGTAAAGTACAGTTCAGCTCTGAAAAGTGACTTAAGATAGCATCTTAGTTAACAGATATGTTCCTTGTGTGTTAGGGTTGGTCTAAACATACAGCGGCATGCAAAGCACAGATAATGCACACCTAGCTAGCCCTAGTATAAATGTCCGTGTAGATGGTGAGGCATGTCTTAGGCAGGTAGAGCAGAGTAGAGTGCCCTATTTGCCCAAACCTCCAGGGTATATTCCCTACATGGGCTCTCTACACGCCCAAGCAGTGCCTCCCACCTCTACACTGCTATTTTTAGCAGTGTAATGTTCCCTGCCACATCTTTCCCTACTGCAGTGAAAGGCTCCAGCAGTGGGGAAAGGCTCTGCGAGGGGGGAGGCAGCAGGAAAATCCAGCAGCACCCAGCTGCCGGAGCTTTCCCCGTTCTCTCCCCCTGCCAGTGCCTTTCACTGCCGTGTCTAGCTACACACCACAGTGACAAGTGTGGATGCAGCCTGCCTTTTACTCTGGCGTGTAGCTACATGTGTAGTGCCTGTACTCTGTATGTCGCTGTAAGGGCAGACATAGCCTTAATCAGACATGATCTCTCAAGGAAGGAGATGTGTTTTAGAGTCTGTCTACTTGGGAGTGTGTCAGAGTACACTGCAGAACTTTTAGTGCATGATAGCAAGATGCACACATTGAGTTAGTATGTGGCAGGCTTGTGCACTGTAATTCACATCCTAGCTTGCAGTGGGACACTGACTCACCATGTAGACAAGCCCTGAATATTTCCCAGCGTACCCTGTTGGTATCTGCAACACAACTAGAAAGAGTGAGCTTCATTCTGTTCTCTCTCATTCATCATCAGCATTGTTTACTTAGGTACTGTTCACCTGAATTTTATGGGTTAGTTGTTATGGCTCGCCACCGACCGCATCCAACCAGAAGATTTATAGGTTCTTGTCCAATTCAAACTATAGGGTTCAAGAACTCAGAGAGTTCTATATCGGGAGAGGACTCTCGGGGTGCTTGTCAAAAACACTTACACTGAGGACAATACCAAATTGATAAAAACTTTGAGATTAACAAAAGAATAATAAATGCTATAAAACTTATGACTGCAAAACAGTAAAAGAATTCCAAAACTCCTGGTGGTAACATTCCTATTATAAGTACTTAACTTAATATACTCACACACTTCCTTGAGGACCCGGTAATAGGATGTAAAGGACCAGCCTTACTCCTGGCATGCCCGATAACACAATGGTGCTGGCTTTCCCAGTAGTTAGGAATGTTGAGTAGTTATACTATACTGCACAAGCTGAGCTGATAGTGTGACAGAAGATAGAATAATAGGTAGATAAAAAGATAGTCTATAGAATATAGGAGAACAAAGACTAAAGAGGGAACTAAAAACTAAAAGAAGCGCTCAAAGTGCTAAATGAGAGCTAAAAGAAAAGCTCCCTATGATATCCTTATAAGGTATTTTATAGGATCCTGACGCTATGTACTTAAGGCCCAACCTACTATACCCAAATCTTATTTCCATACCCTAAGAAATTTATGGGTGCCCTTATCCTGTAGGTTAGTGGATTATGACACTTACTCTCTCTATATTAATAAGGATTATCTCACTTTCAAAACTGCCAACCTAGGCTCTCTTGGCAACTTCCAAGTTGTGATGTACCCTGCGGTTACCAACCGGTTGTGGACGCCGGATAAACCTGTTCAGTGTTGTGTATAGTTCCTCCCTTTGGTTCCCAAAGTTCGGGGACCAAAGGTTACCATCTTTTATGCTGACTTAGTCTTAACTGATTATACTTTTAGCTATTTAGGGGATCTTACTGGATACACAGCGGTAGGCTTCTTGCATTTCAGCAAAACTTATTCTATGTATAATTATTAGGGAAAAACATAACACATATGCCTCAACACATCCTAAATTCATAGGAATTATTACTGATAAAATATAAGAATGAAATGGATTAATTCAGAAGGAGAAACTTATTTGATACAGCTGGCTGGATTAGAAGGATATAATAGCTAGCAAAGTAATCTGATGGGCTACAGTACTTAGGTGTCACTGGTTTGAAAACCCTCTCAAACCTGTCTAAGATCTCCATCAGGCTGCTAAACAGGGGCCCGCCACAGTCAATCTGGAACCCAGCGGTTTTGTGCAGTAACTGTGCCTTTCTTTTCCTCTCTGAAGACTTGAAGCAGGATAAACAAGACAAACGTTTGAAATAAGTCTTTCCATTAATGGAAGCAGGACTGGACAATAAAATTCATTCAGGAATTTTTTTAACCCGTTTCAAGCCTGTGTTGTCATTTAGCCCCATTTCAGTAGGGCTGACGTTTAGTCACAGTTAACTCACGCGATTAACTCAAAAAAAATGAATCGTGATTAATCGCACTGTTAAACAATGGAATACCAATTGAAATTTAAATATTTTTGGATGTTTTCCTACATTTTCATATGTATTGATTTTAATTACAACACAGAATTACCAAGTGTACAGTGTTCACTTTATGTATTTTGATTGCAAATATTTGCACTGTAAAAATGATAAACAAAAAAATTGTATTTTTCAGTTCACCTCGTACAAGTTCTGTAGTGCAATCTCTATCATGAAAGTGCAACTTACAACTGTAGGGGTTTTTTGTTACATAACTGCATTCATAAGTAAAACAATGTGAAACTTTAGAAATCTACAAGTCCACTCAGTCCTACTTCTTGTTCAGCAAATTGCTAAGACAAACAAGTTTGTTTACACTTACGGGAGATAATGCTGCCCGCTTCTTAATTGCAATGTCACCTGAAAGTGAGAACAGGCATTCGCATGGCACTGTTGTAGCTAGTGTTGCAAGATATTTACATGCCAGATGTGCTAAAGATTCATATGCCTCTTCATTCTTTGGCCATCATTCCAGAGGACATGCTTCCATTCTGATGATGCTTGTTAAAAAAAGAATGCATTAATTAAATTTGTGACTGAATTCCTTGGGGGATAATTGTATTTTCCCTGCTCTGTTTTACCCGCATTCTGCCATATGTTTCATGTTATAGCAGTCTTGGATGATGACCCAGCACATGATGTTTGTTTTAAGAACACTTTCACTGCAAATTTGACAAAATGCAAAGAAGATACCAATGTGAAATTTCTCAAGATAGCTACAGCACTCGACCCAAGATTTAAGAATCTGAAGTGCCTTCCAAAATCTGAGAGGGATGAAGTGTGGAGCATACTTTCAGAAGTCTTAAAAGTGCAACAAAGATGCAGAAACTACAGAACCTAAACCACCAAAAAAGAAAATCAACCTTCTGTTGGTGGCATCTGACTCAGATGGTGAAAATGAACATGCATTGGTCTGGACTGATTTGGATCGTTCTCAAGCAGAACCCATCATAAGCATGGACGCATGTCCTCTGGAATGGTGGTTGAAGCATTCAACCATATGAATCTAGGGACACATGAATCTTTAGCGCATCTGGCATGTAAATATCTTGCGATGCCGGCTATAACAGTGCCACGCGAACGGCTGTTCTCACTTTCAGGTGACATTGTAAACAAGAAGCGGGAAGCATTATCGCCCATAAGTGTAAACAAACTTGTTTGAGCAACTGGCTGAACAAGAAGTAGGACTGATTGGACTTGTAGGCTCTAAAGTTTTACATTATTTATTTTTGAATGCAGTTTTTTTTGGTACATATTTCTACATTCGTAAGTTCCACTTCCATGATAAACAGATTGCACTACAGTACTTGTAGTAAGTGAATTGAAAAATACTATTTCTTTTGTTTTTTACAGTGCAAATATTTGTAATAAAAATAAATATAAAGTGAGCTTTGTTTTCTGTGTTATAATTGAAATCAATATATATGAAAATGTAGAAAACATCCAAAAATATTTAAATAAATGGTATTCTAGTATTGTTTAACAGCGCGATTAATTGCGATTAATTTTTTTAATCGCCTGACAGCCCTAGTTAAAAGCTATTTTGGTTCAAGTATCTGAAACTAACAAAAATGGCTGATTGAAGCACTACTAATAGTCAAGAGCAATTACTGAAAAGATGGAAATACACCTCTACCTCGATATAACGCTGTCCTCGGGAGCCAAAAAATCTTACCGTGTTATAGATGAAACCACGTTATATCGAACTTGCTTTGATCCGCCGGAGTGCACAGCCCCGCCCCCCCGGAGCGCTGCTTTACCGCGTTATATCCGAATTCGTGTTCTATCGGGTCACATTATATCGGGGTAGAGGTGTAAGTAGATAGCTGTACTCCAAATTATAGGAGTAAGGGGACTTGTCTCAGGGTAAGGCATAGCCTATTGTCTTATTTACAGGCCTGAGCTATTGAGAGGACAAGCATTCCTTAGCATATGAGTAAGCACAAGTTTCACTTCTTTCTGTTACTAAAAACTTAGCACCAGACTGTAATCATAACGTGTCACCTTACTTCATGTTTTCATTGCACACATTTTTTTGAATAAGTGAATTTAAACTTTTCACTGAATGTCTTATTTCAATCACTGTTGTGTTTTAAAAAAGGCAACAATCTTTATATATACTAAAGGGGACAGTGCACAGAGGTTTGGAGTCATTGTAAATAAATGTCAGGGTTTGTTCAGGGCAGAGTAGACAGCTGGATGAGGCCCCACTGATGTATTTCTTGTGTTTGTGAGTTTATTGATCATGAAAGGTACCATACTGAAAGCTGAGTCAAGCCTTCTTGCTTTTCTGCTGAAAACATCAGTGTGCGCTGGTTGGTTTGTTTTTCTTAAGTCTCCACAGGACCACAGACTATCTAGGTGGTTACTTTTAAGCATGCAAGTGATCCCATTGAGTGCATCCAGTAACAGCTGGCATGTCTGTGGGGATCTGGTGTCATCCGTCGTTTGGCCATGAAGGGAACCCTCTGCAGCTCTGCTGTCACGACCCTGTTCGCTCTACTCACCAGCCAGGAGTGCGGGAGCCATCCCCAGGCAGAAGCTGTCCAGCAGCAGTGTGACTTCTCCTGCAGCTGAGGGGTCATCATTCTCCTTACAGTTCTGGCCAGTGATCTCTGCTCCGCTGGCCCAGGACAACCTCTGCTTCCCTTGCACTCTGGTGTCTTGGACTGCTCGGCCGCACAGGGAACCCCCCTGCAGCCCTGCTCTCAGCACTGCCTAACCTCAATCCCAGTCCTACCCCCCAAAACTGTAAAAGTAAAAATACCATAGGTTTGGCAGAATTCAATGTTTTTCTAATTTTGGTTATTTTTATCTTTTTTTATTTTAAGATCTTTTTTCTATTATTAACTGCCATATAGACTCGTTCATAAGCTGAATTTTTTTAGTAAAAAAGGGAAGCATCAGAGAAGGGGGTCCGCTTATGAACGGGTATAGAGAGAGACAGGTGGGACACAGCCCCTCCCCCCCCAACAGAGGGGGCAAGGAGAGGCAGCACAGCCAGCAGAGACGGAAGGGAAGAGGTGGGCCAGAGTCTCTGCACTTCTGGCCACGCTGCTCTCCCCCCAGCCTCCGAAGCAGCTGCAGCTCCGGGGCTGGCAGGCTGCAGCCGTACCACCCGGCCCCGCCCACCGGAGCAGGCTATATTTGTCTCCTCAGGATTTGGCCCTTAATGAACAAATGTAGTAAGCTTCCTTTGATTATCAAAAATAAAATAAGATTGTGATTATCTAGTAACTAATTCTTCTCCCTTTCCTAGGGCTTGAGAAATGATTTGAAGGCAGCTTTGGATAAGATTGACCAGCAGTATCTGAATGAAATTGTAGGTGGTCAGGAACCAGGAGAAGAAGACACCCAGAATGATCTGAAAGTCCATGAAGAAAATACTACTATTGAAGAATTGGAGGTATGCAGTGAGGGGGTTTTAACTCAGTTTTTCAATACAGTTCTGTGTCATTGTACTGTTATAGAGAAATTTAAGGGCTGGTTTTAAACACAGGTGCTTCCCTAGAGCACCAACATCAAAGAGAACCTTTGTGATAGATGGTCTCTTCCACTGAGAGTCACATTAATACACAAGTTACTCCCTGTCCCAAAGGACCAGTCACTTACCCCAGTCAGGTGCCCCTTGGATCTCACAAAAAAGACAATGCTTGTAGCCAATCCTATAATAAACTATCTAAAGGTTTATTAAATAGGAAAAAGAAATGAGTTATCTACAAGATTAAAGGAGATAAACATATATACACAAATGAGTTACAATCTTAAATTTCAAAAGATAATAGAAGCTTCTGTAATAAGCAAGCTGAGGATCCCTTGCTTATGCTTAGAAAACCTTGCCTTTGAGTCCAAACAGCATAGGGGTTAGTTAGCTAGTTCCAGTTAGTTTCCTCACTGGAAACTCAGCTGACAGGAGGAATTCACTTCCTCCTCTTCTTCACAGCCCGGGAAGGGCAAAACAACAAACATTTTTTGTCCTCTTTAATGTTCCACGATAGTCTGGTGTCGATGGACCTTCCCTCTGGGACAGGACATAACTAATTTTATTGGAGACCAGCACTTCACGCAGGTGAATGACTCTCTCCTGTCCCTTACACAGTCAGAGGCTTACAATACAAATGCTCAAATATTACCTTATATGGGATATAAATGTTATAAGTGAGATTAGTGCAGGCAGCAACTTACAAACATTCAATAAAGTCTGTACGCATACTTATAATCCTAATACCTATTTTAACAAAACTAGCACATGGGTGAGCCAGACTCCAGCTATGTGTTTGTCTTTCAGTTGAGTGTAGCCATAGCCTAAGGGCTAGTCTATAGTACTGGGGGGGGGGGGATCGAGCTAAGTTATGCAACTTCAGCTACGCGAATAACGTAACTGAAGTCAACGTCCTGAGATCTACTCACTGTGGTGTCTTCACTGCAGTGTGTCAACGGGAGACGCTCTCCCGTCGATTGCCCTTGCACTTCTCGTTGAGGTGGAGTACCGGAGATGACGCTAGAGCGATCGGCACTCGATTTATCGCATCTATACTAGACACGATAAATTGACCCCGATGGATCGATTGCTGCCCGTAGACAAGCCCTAAGACTTATACCCTTAAATGTCAAACTCTTTGCAGAAGTTAATCCTTTTAACATCCCTTGAAAGGTATGTTAAAGGGCAACACCCTCATTTATAACTTGGAGCTCATTCGTCGATTGCGAGGCCAGAAGAGGCCATTGTGATCATCTAGTCTGACCTCCTGTATAACACAGGTCAGAGAACTTCCCCAAAATAATTCCAAGAACAAATCTTTAGAAAAGCATCCAATCTTGATTTAAAAATGGTCAGTGATGGGGTGAATCCACCACAAACCATAATAAGTTGTTCCAGTGGTTAATTACTCTCACTGTTAAAAATGTACACCTTATTTCCAGTCTGAATTTGGTTAACTTCAATTTACAGCCATTAGATCACATTACACCTTTCTCTGCTAGATTGAAGAGTCCATTATTAAATATTTGTTCCCCATGTAGATACTTATAGACTGTGAGCAAGTCACCCCTTAACCTTCCCTTTTGTTTAGCGAAATAGATTGGGCTTCTTGAGGCATGTTTTCCAAGAGTTATGTTAATTTAATTTTCAAGGCGTACAGTTTCTGGCCTATACACTCGTGTAACTAGTTTTTTTTCTCTTTCCTATAGGAGTACTAATAATCACTAATTATGATGGAGAGGGGGCTAATGTTTTAAAACCTTATTTTCCATTGTTTAACTTTGTCAAATATGACCTTTTGGGTCTTTATTTGTACCAGCTCGGTCTGGGCTAAGAAGTGAATATTTTTGGAAAGTTTTTTATATTTGTTTGGCCATTTTAGCGGTATCTGAACATACATCCACAATTTTATGCCTTTAAACTTAGTTGAGGTTGAACAATAAAATGCTGTTTAAAGGGACATGACAGGTTAGGTTCTAAATTTGGGTTTTATTTTAAAAACAAAACCACCATTTTAGGAAAGAATTAAAAATTAAATTCATGAAATTAAATATATATATATACCCGAGAAAGGGTCTTTTTAAAAATTTCCATGATAGCGTTAACAACCGTGACATTTCAGGAGGGTAGTAATGTCTGAGAGCCTGAAAGTGAAGTTAAAATGAAAAACTGACCCTGTTAAGAGAAATGTAAAAAAGTAAACAGAAGCTAAATAGTATAAACGGTGGAATAACTTCAAGGTGATTGTTGAGTTTTTGGCAACATTGAGCACCCACAATTCCCATTGAAATCCATTTGAGCGATGGGTGCTGAGCACCTTTGCAAATCAGGCCAAATAGTAATAGTCAAGGGATGCTTTTAGATTCAAAATCATTCTTTAGGTTTCTGAAATGTAAAACTGGTTCTTCATCACTCAATGTCATTCATAGTTTCATGGATGTTGATGACATGTGCTGGGTTATTGTCACTCTGTTCCCAAAATGTTTTAGACTGCTGGCTGTAAAAATTGCATTTCAAACCCCTGGTGATTCATCTGACAACTTTCCTTTTTTGACAAATATATATCACAGAAGGATGAGGAATTGCTTTGGCTTTTCCCCCCCCTCTTTCAGGCTTTGGGAGAATCCTTAGGACAAGGTGATGATCACAAAGACATGGACATCATAACCAAATTCTTGAAGGTAAAGAACTTTAACTTGGTTAATTAGTTATATTTGAGCAGTAGCAAAGAGACAGATGTGGCAGAAGATACTCAGGATAGAAATGCCGGTTGTGGTTATTCTGCATGTTAGTTTTTATTTCCACACTTAGGGTGAGATTCTCAAAAGTGCTCAGCGCCCAGGAGTTCTTATTATTTTCAGCAGGAGCTGGTGGGTGCTTAGCACTTCTGAAGAATAGGTCCTTATTTTCCAGGGTTCATTAACATGGTTTTGATTATGCCTTGTCCTGTGACAATTAATTCAGTAGCAATTGTTCTTAAATTCAGAAAGATTAAGCAGGATTATGGTTACTATGTACAAATATGGTGCATACAAAAATTACCATTTTTTTAAAAAGAAAAGCAGTGCATATTGGAGAAAATGAAATTCCATCTGTTTTCACCAGATTTAATAAGGGAATTAAAGAGAATTCCACTTGCCTCCGCCTATGGCTTCACTAAGGAAACTCATGTTTAGGCAACTAGTGTAAAGTAAACTGCTTTCCTGGCAAGAAACCCACATGGCATTTCAGTCATATATCTTGGTCCTCAGGTAACTAATTAGATTATCGAAAGTCTCTTGACCTTTGAGCTGTAACTAGTCATGTGAGTTGGTATATTGAGTGATTTTTGACGGTAACCGGGCATAAGAATTTTAAGATAACACTGGCTCAGGATTGTTCTCTCTCTGACAGTTCAGGTATTAAAGTGAGGGCAAGTTGGACGTGTTGGCTGAGCTTTTGAGGCCGTACGTTCAATTCAGTGGTGTTTCTATGTTCGTCTGGAATGCGTTTATGCTGCAAAATTTCAGGGAATGCTGTATGCAGGTGTAGGGGGAACTGAGGGCACACAGAGCTCCTGCCATGGGGGGAAAGGGTGGAACAGGGCGGGGGGCACACAGAACCCCTGGTGGTAGGGAGAGGGAAGGGTGGCACACAGCTTCTGGCATGGGAAGAGATTTCAGGGAGTCCCAGAAATAGAGGCAGATTAGAGGGTGGCGCACCGGGCGAGAATAGACAGATGCAGGGAGCTCCTGGTCAATGAGTTTGACCTGCACAAACTATGAAGCGTGGTGCCCCTAGTCATGTATTCGACTTCACATATAATGTGTTTAACATTCTGTGGGCCTTGGTCTGAAGGGAGTGCTGGGCGCGTGTCCATTCCAAGTGACCCTGAGGCTGTTGACATCTCCCATCTACATCTCTGCTTTCAATTTATAGCCCATCTTCCCTCCATCACTGATGTCCACCTCCGCATCTCCCTAGTTTCCTTCTGCCTCTCCTCTTCGTACCTTGGTACCTGCCACCTCTTATGGCATGTCTGGTTCCTTGCCTCTTTTCATTCAAGTCCCTCCTGAAACCCTGCTTTTTTCAGTTCTGACGTTTATGCTGCACTTTTATGCAGACGTTTTACTGGTGTAGCCACTAGGTGGCACCGTGGCATAAATTTACTCCTTCCTTTTACAGTTTCTTCTGGGCGTCTGGGCAAAGGAGTTGAATGCCAGAGAGGATTACGTGAAACGTGGTGTGCAGGGGAAACTAAACAGCGCCACACAAAAGCAGACAGAATCCTATCTGAGACCTCTCTTCAGAAAACTGCGGAAAAGGGTGAGGGATCTTCAAAACGACAGGGCCCAGCAGGACTTCTCTTAACCTCTGCTTCCTAACTGTGTAGTGCTCCTCGTTGATAGTAAGATTGACTCCACTTCCCCATCTGTACAATGGAGACAAAGACGCTAAGTGACTTGCTCAAGGTCATTCAGTGACACAGTTGGGAACAGTACCCCGGTCTCTGACTCCCACTCCTCTTTAACCACTGAATCCTAGTGCCTGCCTAAAATAAATGCCCGTTGTCTTCCCAAATGTCATAATGTGTATCTATGATCCAATGGGTTCCTTATCTGGTCGAGAACCCGGGTTTTATTCACAACTCTGGCACAAGTCACATAACCTCTGTGTGCCTCAGTTACCTCATTTGTACCAGTGGTTTTCAAACATTTTAGGCTACATACCCCTTTCCAAATAATGTAGTCTACCACATATCCCCATCTGAGATAGGGTCACAATATACCTATGATTAGATTGCCAAGTGTTACTAAATAAAGTGCGTTGTCTGCCAATACAGGATTTTTCTTGCGTGCCCCCTGACGAGAGCTCGCATACCCCAGTTTGAAAACCTCTGATTTATACAATGGAGATATTTATCCTCTTTAAAGTGCTTGAGATTTGTGGCCGCAAAGCTTTGTGTAAGTGCAAAATACGATCGCTTTCAAAAGCTATGTATTGCTCAGAAGTAAAACTAATGTTTTTTCCTCTTTCAGACTCTCCCTGCAGACATCAAAGAATCAATAACAGATATTATTAAATTCATGTTGCAAAGGGAATACGTGAAGGTATGCTTACTTATAAGCTTTTCAAGTGTTCAAACCATGTAGTATTAATTAGCTGATATAATGTAAATGTTTCACATTTAGCTTCTCAAAGGCATGTCGTTAGAGAGAACCCATGTTCAAACAAAACTGACATCAGCCTCCGCTGGTTAGGCACCAGGTAAAGGGATGTGGGGAATTCACTCATTGTATAGTTCCTGGAACTGAATGGCAAGTTTCCAGGTTCTGGTTTGGTATTTAATTCTCAGGAAAAGAGAGTAGCTTGGAAAGAGTCTTGGATACATCTCCTGCTTTATGGTCAAATCCCGCTTGATTTACAGTCTGAGAGACGGCGTTGAAGTCAGAGCAGTTGCAAGTCCAGGCAAAATCTTGCTGTAAATGATTATATTAACTTGCAGAGGAAACTTGAATGGGAATTTCAACATTCTCTCTCAATTAATACCACATCATGTGTATGAGTGCTGTATGTAAAATATGGAACACACGGAAGACCTTGTCCCTCCCTACATCCTGTATTGGACATACCCACATCAGCAGTCCTGTACAAGCTTAAAGAGGGGGTGATATTGAGGGTAAATGATTGAAAAGTTTTGTGGACAAAGTGTGCTTAAAGGAGGAGTTTGGCAAACAAGAACAATCAAAGTGTTTGTGTTCTGTAGCCACCTCCAGAAATGAAACTGGAATGCCAATGGTATTTCTATACTAGCTTGTGTGGGTGGCAGGGGAAATGGAGCCTTGTAATTCCCCTCACTTTCCCAGCGTTATGAGAAGACTTGTGAGGATTTGGGGTAATCTGCCTAATAAACAAGCCTGATTTTGTCTCTCTGACTTTCTTAAAATTTGCTGGCCTAGGGCAAGTTTAATTCAAGTCACTTTAAGGCTAAAGTGTATTTTTCAGTTATGCTTTGTGTATTCTAAAAGATCCCCTTCCAACTCATTGCTAAGGAAAGCAATAGGCCTATGGTATATTATGTTGGTGAATCAGCTGTGCCTGTCTGTTTCACAGGTGCATGATTTTATACTCACTAAGTCGACTGAACTGGGCATTTTAAATACACGTTTGGAAGCTTTTGTGGGGCTTGGAACTTTTAAAAACACCATTGTCTCCTTCTTGATTTTCGCACTGTCCCCCATCTCAGTTCGTAGCAAGAGTTGTCCTTTGTCACGTTCTGCTGTCTTGGATACTCTTTGGTTTGTACAGAATGGTGTACATTATGCATGCTATGTATTTAATTACATCCAAATATGTTAAAAGAATGTTAAGGTAGCAAAATCAAGCACTTGAAAATGGGGAAATGCCAGAATTAAGGCAAACGATTAACCTCTGCATCACATACCACGCTGTGTCAAAGCAGGAACAGATTCCAGTTCTCCAGAGTGGAGTTCAACTTCCTTAACCAGGAAGCCATCCTTTCTCTTCCTACAATCCCCTGCCTCATTCGTTGCGCATCTTCCAACTTCCTCCTACAAACAGCATCCTTCACTACACAGCCCTGACTCATGCTAGCCTGTGCACTAAATGAAGCAGGAGTCCTGTGGAAAATATAGTATGTGATCATGTAATTCTGGCATTTCCCAACTTTTGATTGTTACAATTGCAAAAGTAAGCATTCTTTGAACATTTTGTATACAATTTCCTAACTTAAAAAAAGCCCTCAAAAAAAATTTCATTGTGTGAAATCCTACTGACCCCCCAGCATGAGCTGGATATAGATCTTTTGATCTACAGCGCAGACCTCTGTTACTTGACCTAATTGAGTAACTGGAAGCAATAGTAGGCTGTTATCCTCTGGACCAATCACTAGAGCGGGGGATAAGACTCAAACTTTGCCAGGGGGTTTCACAGCTAGTTGCTGGCAGCAGAGGAATGTAGATTTCCAGGTTCTGCAGGCCAGTGGTGTATTGACTCTAGACCCTGTGCTTTTAGCCTGTCTGTCTCGCTCTGCTTTTCTAAGTATTTATAACCTTTTTTTCTTCAGGCTAATGACGCCTACCTTCAGATGGCCATTGGAAATGCTCCGTGGCCTATTGGCGTCACTATGGTTGGCATCCATGCCCGAACTGGCCGGGAAAAGATTTTCTCTAAGCATGTGGCCCATGTTTTGAATGACGAGACTCAGAGGAAATATATTCAGGTAAGGGCTTAAGGAGTGTTAGACTGGATTCCAGAGGCTTCATGTTAAAAGTTAGGAAGACCTTTGAATAGTGCAAATTTTATAAGCACAAATGATATGGCAAAAATAAAAGGTGGTAGGTACGGGCTGTTGCCTTTTGGCTCTGACCAAATGCATGATCAGTTTAATAACCAAGGCATCCTGGACCCGTTGGGGCTCTCCTGCTGTGGCTTAGAAATGGAGTCTAATAAGTCTTTTTCCATCACCTATCATGATTCTATATTACGGCTGAAATAACTACAAACACATGCCTCAGTCTCCTGGGCTCCATCAGTTTCCAACCTGTAGCATTAACATCACATATTGTGTGGCGTTTATGATACTGTTGTTGAATTGACTAAACAGTGAAACAAGTTTCCACCTTGGTCTTGTATTTCTGCAGCCAGACAAACGCGGTGGTTCTCTTAGTGTAACTTTCCTAAAGGGACATCAACTCGAAATGGGTACAACATTCTAGGTTCATAGAGAGCCCCCTGATAAATTATGTCCTGAACTTAAAGACTGATTCCTTTAAGAATTGGTGTACAAGTTTTTCTCACCCCTGTTGATGTATGATAGGGTCCCTCAGCAGGTGGTTTCTGAGAGAATTACCCCTCTCCTGGTCCCATATATATACATGTTCGGCTGCTGCGGCAGCAGCCCTGAAGTAAAGCCCTCCCACCTTCTCTATGGGACCTGCAGAAATAGTTCCATGGGGCAAGGAACTTCCCTACTAGACAGTGACCTCTACCCTCTGGGCCCTTTTGAGCAATCCTTCCTGATGCAATACCAAGACTCCCATGGCTTCCATCTCCTGCTATGAACCCTGATGCCATCTCTGCTGTCACATTACTCTGGGGGGAAAAGAAGAGTATCTTTTATCTTGCTGATCATCTGAGGAAATGTCTTCCGCACACTCCCCCTGTTTTGGACGTTCACAGAAGCCAGCGGTGGCCCTGTAACTAGGGGATGTCGCTTAAAGGAAAAGGAAGTGTCACTCAGATTGCTTTTGGGGGCCCTGATTGGAGGGAGTGTTTGAAGCTCTATAAAGGGGATTTTCTGAAATATCTCAAGTTAAGCTTCAGTGTCTTCATGCCATTCTCTCTGAAAATACTGTACTTAGAGGCCTTCAGGCACTCAAGTCAGAGGAGGGTCTCAGCCCTGGGGGCTAAAAACTGAGCTCTGATGGTGGCTTTAATATAAATTTCCTCTGTAGCCTTGGGAAGTCCCTCCATTTATGTCCCTCCTTCTCTAACGTGGGGATAATCCTTACCCCAGAGGGAAATGTGATATCCTCTTCGAGTAGCCTTCTCAAGTTGCAGCGTATTTGACTATCTTGCAGAAGTTTCTCTTCCCATTATCTCTAATACAAGGTAAATTCGTCTGCCGAGGGAATCCTTGTGTACATCTCCCAACTGTGCAGATTTCTGTACAAATCCGTCTCAATTCTCCTTCACTGTGGGAAGAATTTTCAGGACTATGCTGCTCCACCACATGGCTAACTGTACAGCCATATGCAGGGTCAGCTTTAATTGTGTGTGCGCTTTGTCTTAGCTGCCAACACACAGGATATTCTTTAGTAGATACTGTTTGAATGTGGGTTATGCAATATCTTTGCTGCTCAGCCCAACAATATCAGGTGCACTTTGATTTGTTTGCTAGAAGTCCAGGGTTACAGCATCCAAACCAAAGGGTGATCATTTAGGGCTTCTGATTTTTGGTTTTAATTGATAAACACCAGTAAAACACCCCTGTATTAAAATAAAACAAAATAAAATAAAATAAAATAAAATAAATGGTGTTTATCCAATAAGCCCTGGGAAAACACCAGAAATGGTTACTTGTCTCTAAGCCCTTGTCTACGTGGAGCAGTAACGTGCCCTACGGGACATGGCTTTTAAAGCGCTTTAACATATTGCGCGTTAATTGGACCACGCAGACCCTGCTGGTGCGCAGTATAGGTTCCCTAGTGCACTTTAACCTAGTGCTGTTCGAAGCTGTACTACATTAAAGTGCAGTGGTTCTCAACCAGCAGTCCAGGGCCCCTTGGGGGCCCGTGATCAGGTTTCAGGGGGCCACCAAGCAGGGCCTCACTGGGGCCCAGGGTAGAAAACCGAAGCCCCGGGCTCTGAGCCCTGCCACCCTGAAGCCTGAGCAATGTAGCTTTGTGTGGGGGCTTGTGGCATGGGGCCCCAGGCAGTTTCCCTGCTTGCTACCCCCTAATGCCGGCCCTGGCTTTTATATGCAGAAAATCAGTTACTGTGACACAGGTGGGCCATGGAATTTTTATAGCATGTTGCGGGGGGGGGGGGCTCAGAAAGAAAAAGGTTGAGAACCCCTGTACTAGGGAACGTTACAAAGAGTTTCCTCATTATAGTATTTACTACTGTAATGAGTAATGTATGTAATATACATTAGTATCTAAAAAGAGAGCCCAGAAACATTTTTGGACATCTACATAAAACTCAAAAATTACTAAAAATCCCCCCCTTCCCAATTAAATTAATGAACCCCGAAAGCCAGAAACCCTTGTGATAATGGACAGCGCCAGGCCATTTCCAGAAATGTCACTTACCCCAGCTCCTACAGTGCTGGGGCTAGACCTTCTGCCAAGTCATGTCTCCTGTCAGCTAGAGGTCACGTTCCAATCTAAAGCAGCAGAGGTTGCAGAATTTATGGCAGGCATGTGTCACACCTGCCAGCTAGTGGTACCTTGCCATTGCTAGATCACAGCCTAGCATGCCACAGCCGACGCTGGGGTCACTTTACTCTTCACTCCGTGTGCTGTTCACGTGGGATTTTTTTAGGATACTGTCCGATAGCTTAGGCAGTAGTAGTGTACCCAGGATAAGAGAGAGACAAGGTGGGTGAGGCAATATCTTTTATTGGACCAACTTCTGTTGGTGTGAGAGAGATACGCTTTCGAGCTTACACAGAGCTCTTCTTCAGTCTTTTAATTTTAAACCTGAGTTTAATATAAGAAGCAAAAAGTATAAATGGTGAAAGTAATCATCACAGTTAACCTGATAGTGCCAGTTTCCTCTCCTGGAGGAGGTAACCACTTTCCTAAGGTCTAAAGAGCTAGTGAAAGCTAGTGATATTTGTTGTCCCATGAATCTGTTTGAACAATGGACTAAATTAATAAATTATGCCCCACTATTCCCTCTGCTGTTTGGAGCATTCAGCAAATCCTTTCCCTGCAATTATCCTGTCCAAGAGACGTGTCTCTCCTGGAAGATGCCTAACTTTTTGAAAAACCTGGTCACACTGGTGTGGGTCGCTTCTGTGCCCTAAACTCAGAATTGACCAGGAAATAGTTAAGTTGGTTTGATTGCTGCTGGTTTATTACAGACCTCTCCTTGTTTTCTTGACTTTCTAGGGGTTGAAGAGGCTCATGACCATTTGCCAGAAACACTTCCCAACAGACCCATCCAAATGTGTGGAGTACAATGCCTTGTGAGTCCCTCGGCTGCCCACGGCGTAAATCATTTTCTGCTCTCCAAGACCCAGAGAAAGAGGAGAGAACAGCCCAGACTTTGCTTGAAATCAACCAGAAACTTGGGTTGGGCCTGGAGCAATAGCCTAAAGCCAAGGGCTTTGTCTAGAGCTTTCTACAAACCACATCTATTTACATTTCTTTTAAGCACTGTGTACATTACACTCAACAGATCCTGAACCCATTTGGTATTTTTTGGGGGTGGGGGGAAGGGGTGGGGTGGTCTTTATTTTAATTATTCTGGAAATCATAGGGACCGAACATTATTTCTTTTCCCACAGCTCAGAAGCTTAGGTCACGGTCATCTGTTGCTTTTATTGGACTCTTTCCAATTGAGGTTGGCATGGGCAGATGATTAGAAGGAAACAGTTGAAACCGAATTCTAATTATTTCTGTAAATATGAACATTTCAGTGTCTAATCTTTCATGTGGTATTTATCAGAAAAAAGACACATATATTTCTCAGCTGAAAAGTACAGCCAAACTGGTAAAAGTTTTTGATCTTGAATGGATCTGTTTGTTTTGTTTTGTTTTTTTTGTCATGGAGCTTTTAATATGAACCTTGTGAGCTTGGAGTAAGGAATCTTTGGGCTCTTTAGGTTTTCAAGTTCTGTTTTACACATCTGGAGAAGATTGCAGCCTGCTGGACATTGCCGTTAGAATAATTGGTGGTGGAAACAAGACCTCCCATGGCCAGGTACAGTATTTCAAGCAGGCGCCGAGCTTTGCTATCATGCACCCTGAGTAGGGAGGAGTGGGAATGATGCTCCCTCATTTACCTGTACTACAGAGACAGTGGAATATTAAATGCTTGTTGAAGTCAAAGCAATAGTGATTCCTCCATGCTCAGCAGCCAAGCTGTCCTTCCAATGTGCCATAGCCCTGTCCTGGAGAGACGTTTCCAGGGTTTGGAGGGTCGCTCGCTTTTCTTGCTTATTTAAATCCTTGACCTCTCTGCAGAGGATGCTGATTACTGCCAGTGATGGGAGCGGTTTTTGTGGTAAAGGACAATTGTCCCAGTAGGAACTGGAGTTAGATCACTCCCACACAACACAGGCCACCAGAAAGCCTTGACATGGTGACAGCTTTTAGTTGCTGCTGACCTGGACTGGGTTCAAACTGATTTTAGCAATGAGAGAGGCTTTTTGCCCCATTACCAGTCCCATCAGCCATCAGATCTTCTGAACAGTGACATTTTTGATGTGGACTTGTATGTGCTCAGACTCCATGGTGCTAAGAATCTGAATAATTCAGAATCCCTCCCTTACAAACTCTTGAAGTACGACTGAGTTTCATTTAGCAGGTTGGTGCTTATTTGAGTCCTGATCCTCACTGTGAAGGGGGCAAGGGAAATGTGGTGTAAGAAAACAGTTTTTTCCTCCAAATTCGTTGTGCTGTGAGGCACTGGTCCTTTGTATCTAGTTCTGCTTTTGGAAAACTTAGCAGAGCCTCTGGAGGAATCTCCTGGCCCTTCTGTAGTCTCTGGAGTTTTAAGTGCCTCTTTGGTCAGAGTAATTCTTCAGTTGAAGTATGGGAACCCAAGAGAAAACACAGAGAGCTTGGAGGGTTTAAAAGTAATAAAAGCAAGAGCCAGTGAAAAGAGCGTAGGGAAAGGGCTTTAGAGAACAGACTGGGTTTTGTGGGGAGGAGTTGGGCAGTTGTCAAGAGAGCACACTAGGAAGCCTGGTTAATAACCGAGCCCGGTGGGCTTTGTGTGTGTACGTACACACACACACACACACACACACACACACACACACACACTCTCACTCTCTCTCTCTCTCTCTC